TTAATTTTATTCACATTTGTGTGCATCTCTTTCCTGCCATCTCCACTTCCACCAGTGCTCCCTGTAGTGTGTGCTTCCCTCAGCTTCCCTCTTGGGCAGGAATTCTTAACCTGTTCAGGGACCTTGAACTTGGATGGGGGAAAAAAAAGACCACTGTCATTCTTACTACCTTCTAACTTTAGCAGTTCCTGAAATTACAAAGTAGGCAACAAACTACCCTGGTACAGTCTCAGAGACTGTTGCCAAGAGAAATTACAGACATTTTATATGTCAATGTGGTCTGGGGAGAAATCGTACATTATCATTCACATTCATCACTACTTCAAAATTATGCTACTTTCTACTCCTAAAGTTGAATGTACTTCTACAGTTGTATTTCAATATATGTCTTTTACATGCCTATATACTTAATAAAGGAGCTCTGGTAGCGTAGTGCTTAAGGCACTTGACTGCTAACCAGAAGGCTGGTGGTTCAAACCCACTAGCTACTCCTTGTAAAGAAGGTTGGGCAATCTACTTCCGTAGTGACACTGCCTCAGCAACCCAAGGAGGGGTCGCTATAAGTTGGGTCTGACTCAATGGCACATAACAACAACATACTTAATAAATTTGAGAATCTTATTTGAGAAGGGGCTATAAGCTTCACTAGATGCCCAAAGCATCTGTGGCACTCAAAGGTTAGAGACCAATAGGGTCAGTTGATGAATGTGAATAAAATTTTTTTAATAAAAAAAGGGGAAATGAAGGTGGAAGTTATGCTATTCTCAGTTTTTGATGACAATTTCATTATTGGGTAGAAAGCTTTGCCCCAGGAAAAGCAATTTCAGATAAATGTTTCTTTTCCCACGTGGAATGCTCACCCACTTTCTTCTCTACCCTACTTGTCCTGTGTGGCTCAGTTCAAGGCCCACTTCTGCCAAACAGACTCCCCCACCTCTCTCATCCTCACTGGTGGGGATGGGTGGTCGCATTCCGATGCCACTGAACTCTGAACACAGACCTTGCCAGCTAGCCTGGACACTTAGTCCAGGGCAGCATCTTTATCTACATCCTTTGCTTTCCTAGGGAAGGGCAGTTGATCTCAAGAGCAGGAACCTTGTCTTTCTTTTTATATTCCTAGGGACCTCCAACTAGGCAAGAAAAAGAACAGCAGCAGACAATTTTTAGCAGGTTCTTCCCTAAGACCTCTGAGTTTCCATGTCTGTACTATCAGTTCCCAGGGGTGGAATGAGCAAAACTTCACTTGCAAAGGAGCCAGAAATGTCTCTGCAAAACTCCTTAAGGATCTCCATAGAAAGCTATACTGGGTTTGAACAGTCACCTCGGCTCCTCCCTTTTTCAAGATTTGGATATTGCCTGCAACTAGGCACGCTGGGATAGAGTAACCCCGGGACTAAGTCTCAGAGACTAGGATCTAACCCTGGCTCTCAAAGTGCCCCACTGTGTGACCTTGAATTTATCTCTTCCCCTTCTAGGCTTCAGTTTCCTCAGTTGTGAAATGAATGATTTGATATGCTCACTCACACTCCAGGAAGGAGAACTGGAGTCATTCTTCACTGATACATTTCAAAATTTATCATATTTTTCAAGAAACAACTCGTATTGATGGGGCAATCTACTTCCGGAGTGATACTGCCTCGGAAACCCAAGAAGGGGTCGCTATGAGTCGGGTCCAACTCGAGGGTACATAACAACAACAACTAGTCCTTTCACATTTCTTTAGTATTCTTTTCCACAATGAGCATGGAACTTGTTTCATGCTTGAGGGCTTGCTGTGGTGACTGCCACACTGCTGTGTTTTAGCATCTTCAATGTAAGAAATTTAAAAATATGTACACAGTAGGCAAAATCTCCAAATGCTTCATTGTAAATATGCTGCTGTCTTCTGGTTGAGGAAATTGATTTTACAAACCATTCTATGTATGACATTCCATATATGACAATGTGCCTATCTCTTTGCATATGGAAAATATTCAGAGAACAGAAAAGAAGCACATAAGCATAAGTGTTACTTCGTTGGTATTACCACCAGTCTTCGGAAGAGCTATCAGTTCAGTGAATCAGCCAGTAATCTGAACATGGCTGGCCTCATAGGTTCATCTCCTGGTTCATTTCACATGTGGCGACAGTAAGCCTGTTTAAAGGTTTAGCCTTGGCTTATATAATAGGCAAAAACAGGTCTTCAGATTCAAGTCTTGGCATTCGGATGCTAAAAATTATTAATGGCTTTACCAGAGCCAACTTATAGGAAAGGAATGTAAATCACTTAAATCTGTTTAGGATGGAGAGAGGAAATTTATAGGCAATAATAGCATGAGTTAAAACTGTTCTCACAATTCATAAAGTCATGAACACAACATCTACTTGGTGCTGACTCTAAAGTCCATCACACTTTAACTAGGAAAATGATTAGGGACAGAAATCACAGGAATACCATGGTCAACAGCTATACATATTCATGTATTTTTTTTTAAGTTTCACTCAGTTACACAACACTTTCATTCACTGTAAAATCACAAGGAGATACTAATATCCAGAAATATTACAGACAGTTAAGAGAGTGAAAAACTTGATAATATTTTAAGCTGAAAATCAGAGAGGTTTGGTTGTTGCATATAAAAAGTTCCTAATTAGTACACTTAACATTCCTAATGGAAAAAAGACAACATAATGACCACAAATGATAGCATTCTATTATTTATAAATCTACATAACCTAAACTCTCACTTTCCAGATTGTAGAATGCAATGCATAATTCTATAAAAAGTAAGAACTGCTTCTAATGCATGTTTGGTTTAGGCTAATATGTTATTATTCTTTAAGAGCATTCTGATTAAATTGTATGATGCATCTGTTGGATGATGAATGGGAGTAAATAAACAAAGCTTTGAAATGTGTCTTCCAGGGAGAAAATGTAATTAAAACAATAAACTCTGCTATGAAAAAAAAAAAAGAAGAGTTGACTCTATTTGGAGAGGGAAATTCCACCAAGTATCACTTGTATAGCTTTACAAATGTGCTACTCTAGAATTAAATAAGAGGAAAAGGAAAGTCACTGTATAGCTCTACACACTCATGGTAATAAAAACAGATTGAGATACAACTACCACCTCACACCAGATTCATGCTGGCTGGGAACAGGCATAGGAAGATGGTCAATACTTCCACGATCACAAACATGCTCTGATTCTGGAGGTTTCTGACTAGAGAGTGATTCACCAGTTAGTTTTACACCTCTGCTAGCAGATCTCACAACTTTGTTTATACCAATGTGTTAGGTACATAATGCATATAGCACTGCCAAGACAGGTAAGTGGATAATTCACATAAAGAACAACAAAAGTAGAAGATGGTGAGGCTTCCACAAAAGGCTAGCTAAGGTGACAGGGCTTTCTTTATCCAGGAATGATACATATAGTACTAGTCCATTCTTTTTATTATACTTGTGTGGTTGAAAGAGTTTTCCCACATATTATCTCATTAGTTCTTCACAACCACCATATCTGGAGGCATCACAGGCATTACTTCTGTCCTCTCTGGGAGGCTGTACCTAGAGCCACACAGGTGACAGAGCCAGGGCTAGTTCTCGTATCTTCTGTTCAAAATGCCAAAATCCAAAATGTCAAACCATACAGAAAAAGGTGGCTTAGAAAGTAGGAAGAGCCTTCAATAAGTTTGTGGGATCACTAGAGCTTATTGTTGGGGCTTTCCCCATCCCTTTGTATGTCCCTTCTCTACTGGGTGCCAGTGCTTTCCCACTGGAAAACACAACTTCATACATACTTAGGAGCAGAAATGTGATGGGCTACCCTTCCTAAGAATACCTCCATTTTGAAAATGAAGCAAATCTTAGCCCTAGGAATTAATGACTAAGATGGGATTCAGCAGCAGTGATTCATACCAATCAGGTTACGTTATCAGGCTGGCTGACTAGGAGGGAGCTCTTCCCCACTCACATTTGAGAGCTGGTGAGAATGGGAAAATGGCTGATTGCCATGAAATGCTGTATTTCTATCTTTACATGTACACATGAAAAGGAAGTGAAAGACTTGAGGGAAAGACTAATTGGTCCAGGAGAGGGTAACTGAGAGATGGAAGCAGTATCACTCTTAAACACAGGAAACCCAAGCCCTTGTTCTGAGCCCCATATACCATGGGACCCTACTCTCAGAAGTCCTTTTCTGATCCTCCTCCATCTGCACCCTCCTCAAGGGGCAAGAAGGACATGAGGCCAAGAGTATATGCCCACCTGAGTCCAAGCTTTCTTTTCTAAACTTGCTCCAAGTACTCAGAACCCCATAATTGCCTGTCTAACTGGCTTCAGAGTCTCGGTGGCTTCTTCTCCAAATCCATTTTCTTATTTGTGACTCACCACAAAGTCACACAGCCCTAGGTCCAAGGGGTAGTCATGGGGCAATGTTTGCAGTATCCATGCACATGCATGTCCCTCACAGTGAGGGTCAAAACCAGGGATGGGGAGAGAAGGATTACAGGAAGACTTGGAAACCCCTTTTGTCTCCTTGCCCCAGTTCTGCACATGTTAGGAGTGACCTCAACCTGAGAACAATCCCAGGTATGGGCTAGACTAGTATTTGATAAGTGGCTGAGTTGTTCCAGAGAGATCCTCACATTGTGAACACATGAATTGCAGTCCCAGACTCCTACTAGAGCTCCCTTCTGGAAATGCACTTATTCTAAACTATGACCAACATTTTCCTTAATTTCTACTTACTTATCCAACTTATCCAACTAAATGTTGTCAACACACATAGGTTCCACCAGTGCCTTATCTCTGCACAAATTAGATGTTCAATAAATGTCAGCCACTGCTGATACTATCTGGTCAGTTTTAGAAATTCCAGGCTTCTTGACCACAGTTACAGAGTCCACAACAGAGCTGTCCATTTACTCTGCCCTCTGCAGCAAACCAAGAGTGGTGTCTCTCCAAGCACACTGGTCAGTATCTCAAAGATCCAATTTTGTCTTTACATAGCTCCAGGCTATTTCAGTCTGATGCAGTCCACCTCTTCAGTGGCAGGCACACCAGTGGTTTTGAGATCAAGGTCTGCGCTGGACTTACTTCCATTGTAAGAAGACTTCCAGTGGAGCAATATGACTTTCTTCAAGTACTTGATGGTGTTATTCTTAACAGTCACGAAGCACAGCGTATTGATAATGCTGTTGCTCATGGCGATGCATTCCACTACATAGAAGGCCGTGAGATAGTGCTTCTCCTTCACAAACACGGTGGGAAAGAAGTCACGCACAATGGTGAAGCCATAGAAGGGCGCCCAGCACACCACATACGCCATGAGGATGCACATGAGCACTAAGACCGTCTTTCGGCGACAGCGCAGCCGCTTCCGGATCTGCTCCGTCTGAAAGCCAGGGACGGCCTTGAACCAGAGCTCCTGGGAGATGCGGGCATAGCACAAGGTCATGGTGACCACGGGGCCCACAAACTCGATGCCAAAGATGAAGAGGAAGTAGGACTTGTAATAGATCTGCTGGTCCACAGGCCAGATCTGGCCACAGAAGATCTTCTCCTGGCTCTTTATAATGATGAGGACTGTTTCGGTTGTGAAGTAGGCTGAAGGGATCGCAATGAGAATGGATACCATCCAGACCAAAGCAATCAGCCCAATGGCAGTCTGATACTTCATCCTTGGTCTCAGCGGGTGCACAATGGCCAGATATCTATGGGGAAAGGCAAGGACACAAATGGGGTCAACCACTGTGAAGAAGTGCTAGATGGTAATACTATTTTTGCAATATTATGAGTTAGCGTAGTGCCTAAGGTACTTGACTGCTAACCAGAAGGCTGGCAGTTCAAACCCACCAGCCACTCCTCAGAAGGAAAGTTGGGCAATCCTACTTCTGTAGTGATAACTGCCTCAGAAACCCAAGGAGGGGTCGCTATGAGTCAAGTCCGACTCAATGGCACATAACAGCAACAACAAACATGAACAACCAAATGGTATGTGTGGAGAAAATGCCCAATGGTATGAGGATTACAGAGAAAGGCAAACTTGCATGCAAACCCCAGCTCTACCTCCATAGCTGTGCAGTGTCAGGCAAGTTTTGTTTAATCTCTCTGAACTACAATTTCCTTACAGTCAAAAGAGTTTTTGTTGTTGTTTGCTTTTAAAGACTAACTGTGCTAATGTATGCAAAATCCCTGCCACAGTCTTAAATACAGCATGTATATACTCAATAAATGGTAACTATCAATAAAGTAGTAATAATACCTCCACCTATTTCCAGCCCTGATATTCTATCTATGTCCTCCTTGCTTTTAGAGTTATTCATTCTTATTATTCCATAGTTTAGAGCTAACCACCCTCCCAAGAAAAAGCTAACCAAGAAAAAACTTGTTTGCATCAAGTGGATTCTGACTCACAGCAACTCCATATGACAGTAGAACAGCTCCATAGGGTTTTCTTGGCTGTTATCTTTGCAGGAGCAGACCATCAGTCCCTTCCTCTGCAGCACCACTGGATGGGTTCAAACCACCAGCCTTCACGATAGCAGTCAAGTGCAAAAAGGGACTGGTAATTCCACAGAGTTCTTGGGAAAATTTGATCTTTCCAATAGAAGCAGTGGGCAAAGTTTTGTCATCATTCCACATTTAAAAAAATATCACTCTGCATGTAGAGGAAAAGCATGTGTGTTTTATGTTGTTTTTCAGGTGGAGAATCAGAGGCAGTGAGAGATGAGTGACTTCTTCAAGGTCACATAGAGCAGGACCCTTGATAGAAAGCATTTAACCCTACCCCACAGAGTTAATGTGAAAATCAACTGATATATGTGAATGTATATATTTTTTTTAACCACAAAGCATCAGACAATAGAAGATACTGCTTTTGTTCTTTCCAAAGAACCACACTGTTGTTACCACAGTGGTCCAGGAAAGAAAATGGAGCACTTTCTGAGGGATGTGACTCATCTGTGTGGTATGAAAACCTCCTTCCCAGAGAGAGTGCACACACTTCTGCAGAGAGCTCTAGTTTCCTGGAAGACTTTCCATGTCTGGCAGGGGGTGGAAGTTGGAGAAGGGGAAAGATGGGAAGTGAAGCGAGAGCGAATGACTAATCAACACTGGAAATAAACACATTCTCAAGTACCCAGAGCTTGTCCCAGGTTGAGTCAAGAGCAAACATGACAGGGCCCTGAAGGAAAGCCAAACCAATTCTTTTTCTTTCAAAACCAATCCCTTTGGGGTCATCTTTCTTAGGGTTTTGATTTACTGAGGAGGGTCATTCTTTACCCCCTCCCCGATCATATTTCTCTCCCTCCCAACACAGGCAGCCAAATCCATTGAATATCATCTGCTGAGTTCACTGGAGTGAAACTCCCTCTCTCTTCCAGCTCCCAGATGTAAGACTGAGCTGAAAGGGTTGAGTCTACTCTCTGGATACCCATTGGCTACCCTAACAGCTCAGCTACTGGCAACTACCCATGCCTCTCACACCAATGACCCTGGGATCTGAAGGGTGGAATGGAAATGTCTACAGGGTGTGGCCAATGCCCTGCATAAGGACCACACTGCTCCCATGATAATGAAGGCACCGAACTTGCTCTAACTCTTAACAAAAACTAGGTTAGAGCTCTTGCTCTCTCACTGGCTCACTCTCTGCCTACCCCATCATGTTCTGCTGATAATTCTGTCAAAGAAAATTTCTACATTCATACTTGTTAACTCAGAATTTTCACTATACAATTTATATTTCTTTTGTCCTAATAGTAACTCCCTAAGTCTTCATGATATTTCAGAGTGGTGTTTCAACAAATAGGTATAAGAGAACACTAATCTACGAGTCAGAAGAACAAGAATTAAATCTTGGCTTTGCCACAAACTGGCTACACCAATGTGAGACATATTTCATAGGCCTGTGGGCTCAAGTTCCTCATCTGTACTGTGGGAATACCTGTCTTGCATATGATGAGACTCAATGAGATGCTGCACATATACAACAATAAGTTCTTAATATATAAGAAAGTGTTAGTATCCTAAAACATTTTTTTCAGAGTTGTTCTGCACACATAAGCCATCTTCTTTTCCCTGTTGTTGACAAATACTTCATTTGCAATTGAAAATATCATGGCTTAGGTTAGGCACACCTTGCTCATCAAAGTGACATCTTTGCTCTTCCACACTTTAAAGAAGTCTTTAGCAGCAGATTTGCCTAGTGAAATATGACACCTGACTTCTTGACTACTGCTTCCATGAGTCTTGATTGTGGATCCAAGTAAAATGAAATCTGTGTTAGACTGGGCTCTCTAGAGAAGCAAAACCAGTAAAGCTTATAGAGAGAGAGAAAGAGAGTGTGAGAGAGAAATTTATCTTAGGAAAATGCCTCACATGCTTATAGAAGTTGGCAAGTCCCAAGTTCTTGGATCAAATGTCAAGCTGGAGGCTTCTCCCAACTCATGCAGCTGCAGGGGTTGACGAGCTCAAGGTTGGCAGGCAGTATACTGGCTGTTGACTTCAACGGATGATGAATCCAAGATCTCCAGGCCGAATGGTGGATTGTTTGCTCACGGACAGTTGTAAGCAGCACAACAGAGTCCTGATGCACAGAAGAGTATCTCTTTTCCCAGAATGTCCATAAATACACTGGAATCAGGCCACACTTCAAGGAAAACTCCCTTTCAATGGATTGGCTACTCAAAACATATACGTCTGATCCCATAATGGGAACAACTCACATCACCATTACTTAAACCACACAGAATTGTGGTCCAACCAAGTTGACACACAGCTCCAACTATCACAGCCCACCCCTTGTCAACTTGGCAGTTGTACACATCTTCTTAACCATATATAATCTCTAAATAAGGACAATTATAAAGTCATATTTGCACCGAACATGATATGCTAACACACATACAACTGAAACGCATTAACCTTATTTACATTTCACAGTTCATAACAGAAGGAAACAAAAATACTTGATGCACATATACAATGAAAAAATATAACAATCACAGTCCTCATTTCTGCAACTGGTCATGTGGCTGTAGCCGATATTCAGAACTACCTTCTTCCACCACCCATTCTGTATTTCCCTTGCCCTCAGCAAACACCTCAGCTGGTCGCGGTTCTTTGCCTGGTAGGGTGACCCAAACCTTCATTCCTTGAGGCTCTGGGCCATTAGTAGTCATATCAGAATTAGGTTGCTGTAATTTTCCATTGACTTTAATCACAGGGCATGGTAGTACTAAGAGACATCCTAAAGAATCTCCTGTATTCCAGACATATTCTTCTTTATCTCCATTATGTAATGTCAATCCAATTTCCCCTTGGTATTGAGGATCTATCACATCAATAATGCCCTTCTTTGTCTGTTGATCTAGAGGCATGAGGAAGCCAAAATGGCCAGGTGGCATTCTTAATTTCCAGTTCAATGCAATCAGTATTGTGTCTCCAGGCGGGAGTGTTCCTCCCTTTGGGACTAAGATCTCCAGACCTGCAGAGCATAGGGTAGCAGGGACAAGGAGCAAAAATTTTTTGAGTAGGTCACTAGGGGTAATAGTGAGTGGTACCACTCCTGTTTCCATCCCTTGGTTCCTGGACCCATGAATCCTGGCTACTGGAGAAACAGAACTATATATTGGACACTGGTTTAGAGCATATACAGCCTTCTGGAGAACACTCCCCCAACTCTTCAAGGCATTGTCACCTATATGGTGCTGTAATTGTGTTTTCAGTAGGCTGTTCCATCATTATGTCAAGCCAGCTGCTTCAGGATGATGTGGAACATGGTAAGACCAGTGAATTCCATGAGCATAGGCCCATTGCTGCACTTCATTTGCTGTGAAGTGAGTCCTTTGATCTGAAGCAATGTTGTGTGGGATACCATGAGGGTGGATATGGCATTCTGTAAGTCCACATATGGTAGTTTTGGCAGAAGCACTGCATGCAGGGAAGGGGAATCCATATGCAGAATAAGCATCTATTCTAATAAGAACAAAACGCTGTTCTTTCCATGATGGAAGTGGTCCAATGTAATCAATCTGCCACCACGTTGCTGGCTGATCACCCCGTGGAATAGTTCCATATTGTGGACTCACTGTTGGTCTCTGCTGCCGGCAGATTGGGCACTCAGCAGTGGCAATAGCCAAACCAGCCTTGGTAAGTGGGAGTCCAGGTTGCTGAGCCCATGCATAACCTCTATCCCTGCCACCATGGCCACTTTGTTCAGGAGCTCATTGAGCAATGACAGGAGTAGCTGGGGAAAAATGATGCCTGGTTTCCACTGAACATGTCATCCTATCCACCTGATTGTTAAAGTCTTCCTCTGCTGAGGTCACCTTTTGGTGGGCATTCATATGAGACATAAATATCTTTACTCCTTTGGCCCAACCAGAGAGCTCTATCCACATACCTCTTCCCCATACATCCTTGTCACCAATTTTCCAATCATGCTCCTTCCAAGTCTCAGACCATCTGGCCAAGCCATTAGCCACAACCCATGAATCTGTATACAGTCACACATTTGGCCATTTCTTATTCCACGCAAAGTGAAAAATCAGATGCACAACTCGAAGTTCTGCCCATTGGGAGGATTTCCCTTCACCACTGTCCTTCAAGGAAGTCCCTGAAAGGAGCTGCCGTGCCACTGCCATCCACTTGTGAGTGGTGGCTGCAAATCGCACAGAACCATCTGTAAACCAGGCACGAGTTTTCTCTTCCT